AACAACTTTTTAAAGTAAGGATGTTGTTGTTTTTTTCCATCTTTAATGAATCTAAAAATAGGGTTTTTTTACAATATGACTAATAATGTCATAATGCTAAAGAATAAAGCCTGTTGGTTATTGTTATGCTCTCAGAAGTTAAAGTGTAAAACATAATGCACACGAACCCACCCCTCCTTCCCCCAAGTCCTTAAAAATATCCACTAATTAAATGACACCTTGGTAAAGCAATCTGATGCTACTGTGAATAGGTATGAAGTCAATGAATCTATCAGTTACAGAATCTAAGGATTTGTCTTTTTATGTAACAATTCTAATAGAAATATCACTCCTACAATTAAATCCACTTTCCCATGGCAATTTCCATTACTCAGATACTGTCAGATCTGAGCATACCTCAGAAACCTTGAAGCTTCTATTTTCCAAGGTAGCCGGTTCTCCATCGGACGCTGAATTCTAGTGGAAGTTATTCTTTTAAAGAATACAGTGCTATTTGCAAGGTGGGCATTAAAGGGACGGAAAAGAGACATTTTTTGGAGGAGGGGTTTGTGTGTTTAGTGCTGATCTTCAAAAGTCTTCATTTTATTCGTTGATCTAACGGTTATTTAGGCAGCTGCTTTTAATTCATTGGTAAATCTGAGTTTTTCAGAGTAATAATAATTAACGAAAGTGGGCATTTGGCAAACATTATGAATACTGTTAACTGTCCATATTGTTGAGGCTTACAATGAGGTGATGATTATGACAACTTGTAGTTAAACATTTGATAAACTTGAACAGCCTCTAATCCTGTGCAACTCAGTTAAAGTGATGCATAGAAAAAATTTCTCCTCACACTGACATGCAGTCATCTCTGGGTGCTGTTTAACATTTACAGTAATGCCACAGAGCAGTGAGGAAGAAAAATACCATATCCAATTGCAATTTCAGAGGAATTTTGCTTGCAGTAAAAAATAAATTAATTGAACTGTTTGTTATGGGGCAGGCTATTGACCCTGTTTTATACTAGCAAACCTGGGTTATGAAAACAGCTAAATGACAAGAAACACAATTGCTTTCTTGGTCAGCTATAATGGGTTACAGACTGCCAGTCCAACAATGCTTCCAACCTTATTGTGACAAATCAATAAGTGTTCAGCCATCTTATTCCCATGACGAGTTCTAATGAAGTTTTCTTTGCCAAGACTAATGGTGCCTGTTACCGAATACTGGCTAGGCCGTTCATTCAAATTTTCAAGAGGTGTTAGATCCCCAAATAAAACTTTACAACAGGAAAAAAAAATAAATAAACATAGTGGAGACTTCTCAAGGAACTTGGGAAGCTTGGGACTTGTAGTAATCGTGATTGAATAGATCCGACTTCTTTCTTTTCAATATTGTTGCAGTTCAAGACAAGACTTCAATAAAGTCTTGTTGCAGTTATCCAGATTAGCCTCTTTGGCCAGATACAGGCATCACACTTTTACCAGTATAAGTGATCAGAAATCGGTCTATACCCATAACGGAAGTTCGGCATACACGGCCTGGTTTAAAAATGGCAGAACCTGGTCTACAATGCACCACCCCCCTCCTCCCTCCACCAAAGAGTGTGTTTTCTTTCTGCTACTGATCTAAACTAGGCTGCTTACAGAAAACTGCATAACTTAGATTGATTTCCACCTTGGGCTTTTTGAATGCCTGTACCTAGCCTTTGTTATCAGATGCCTAAATAGTACAAAAATGAACAGGCAGTCCCCATCCCATTCGTCAGATCTGTTAGTATGTGGGAAAAGGGGAACCTTATAATAAAAGATGAATATATTGCAGTGCTATCTCTGTTCTAAATGGAAAGGGAGTTTAGACTGTCACCTTTAAACAGGATAGACAATCTAACATTTTTCAACTGGTCTCTGTGAGTAAGGCTTTGGCACCAGCAGCCCAAGGTCTGATCCAACTCCCACTGAAGTCGGTGTCATTCCTTTTCCATTGACTTTAATGAAGCTGAATTAAGTCTCTAGAGTTGCCCGACTAAATCATACTAATGTGTTCCTCACAGGCAGTCTAAAAGTAGGCCAGGTTTCTATTGTTCAAATGGTAACTATTCACACTGGATAAGGCTGTTGGAAGGTTTTGCTCCTGTCATTTTGATAGCAAAGTATTACTGCTGAGACCCTTTGTATTTCTGGGTGCAGCCTTCTAAGAAAAGCTAATATTGTAATAATGTATTCTGCTATGTAATTATAACCTAATACCAAAACAACAGCTGACAAAATTGTTGAAAGTTGTAAACTCGTCACCATCTTATAAATCAGAAAGTGAAATAGATGGACCCCCATTATTGTGATTTATATTTGCAAACTAGAAGTCTGATCTAGCAGGCGTTGAAATCATTAGGAATACTTTCAGTGACTTCAGTATTTATTGCAGGCCCTACAGCGAGCATGTAATTCCCAAATCCTTGGCTTTTGTGTTTGTGTTTTTGGCCTATTATTGGGTCATCATTTGTTAATTGTTCCTATTATATGAGATACCAGTTATTTGTTCCTGTTAGAAAAGAATATTCTGCACAAAATTGCCACACTTACTGGTTGGCGAAGGCCTAATTCTTAATGGAAGCTAGTATAGAGGCCCCGGCTTCCCTTTTTCTTTTTGTGTACCTGGCCTTGATTGTCATGTGTCTAAGCCTTTTATTTTATACAATGTAGGTGGAATATAGTCCTCTGGAGAGGTCACAGCATTACCTATCAGAAAAATCCAGTCAGCACTGTTAAAAAGTCAACACTGAAGAATTAACAGTGAGATGGAAGTGATGCACAGAGATGGAATTTACTCCGTTGGAGTATTCAGACATCTCTGACTGAACTATCAAAGCCTTGTCCTATCTTGCAGTGGACCCGTATTAAAAACTTCACCTCGATCAAAGAATTCACCTCCTTTGATGTTCCTTTGAAATCTGGGAGAAGGGCTTCCAGTCCTCCTACCTTCCTGGTTTCCTTTGGGACCATCAGTTCTTTGCGATCACAAATATGACCTGAATTCAAGACCAATTGCACACACTTTCTTTTTTTAAACAGTTGTGGAGGTCTCTGGAAAAGTTTAAGGATAATAAATTGTGGGAAAATGTCTGGATTAATTCTCTGAGCCATGTCTTCCAGCACAAATAATAATTCCAGGGAAAGCTAGGTATAGGTAGGATAATTTACATTTGTATTTGTCAGGAGACACAGCAGTGCATGCTGAAATCTAGCCCCAGCTATTTCCCAGCTATTGGTTGAGGACTGATGATGCCTGTTGGTGGTCTGCATCCGATTACTGCTCTGGTGACTTGAGCAAGTACAAAGAAATCCAGGCTACAAGCAGGGAAGAATTTGAATTAGCTTTTACTACCTTACTCATTTGCTGAGATTAAAGGCGTTTGGTAGATCCTGCTATGTTATAGTCTAGCCTTTTCAGGAGCTCATGGGCATTTGCAAGTGTGGGAGTCAGCTCGAGGCAGAGATGTTAGCACTCCAGTTGGGCTTCTGCTAAAGGATCTGTTTCCTTTTAGACATACTGATGTTCAGGTCTTGTCACTCTCCTTAACAATGTCAAAGACACGTGGCAGCCTGAGCTTCTGTGTGTGTTTACAGCGTAAGTGAATTTGAAAGCTTACTGTATTGTACATTCGCCTTTGGATAGAATTCAGCTCTTTCTATTTTATTTGACACTTCAAATAGGGGTTGTTTTTTTTAAATTTTTCATGAATTTTTATTAGGCAAAATTCTTTTGGGAGAGAAATTGAAAGACAAAAGCAGGGACCCAAGTGGCGCACAGCCTAAAAGAGTAGAGCGATATGGCAATGCCCTTGGGAGCTAAGGGAATTCTGTATTAGGGTGGGCCTCAAGAAGTAATGAAGGTTGGCACAATTGTGTAAAGGGATTTTCTCGATACTTCTTCCTCCTCTTTGCCTTCAGCAAGATTAAAGTTGACTGTTGCGGGTCTGACTTTCCCCTGCTGTTGTTCATTGTCAAACTTGAAAAGCGACGCTAAAACAAGTTGAGGCAGAAGAGTGCTTTGGAGGCTGCAAACATTATTAGGCAGGAGGTACTTTGGCAGATGGCAACCTGAACAGCTCGCGTTATTTACTGACGCCTGCAAACTGTCTCTGTCAGAAAACTCATTCCACTTTTTAGAATTGCAAAGTTGTCCTATTGACAACCACAGAAATGTATCTACTTGTAGATATAAAGCAACAGCTGCTATAGCAGCATCAAGACTCAACAGTCTGGGACCAGGACGTGAAGGAGAATCACTGTTGCATTTACAATAGTAGATGAATATATTCAAGAAGAATGTAATTGCCCCATGTATCACTTATTTTGCACCCTCCCTCCCCCACACCATATATGTTGTTCCTATTCTTCCAAAACTGTCATAGGATTTTTAGTGGCCAGCAGTGATCTAGATCAATCTCCAGTTTCAGTACTTATTCCCAATACAACGTCTTAAGTACCCAGGAGGCTTCCTAATAGCAGATTTTGAGGACTTGGATTGAAAAATAGAGCCATCTATACCATGTCCACCAGTTTGGTTGTTTACCTGCAAGTCTCTTGTCCAAGCACTCAAGAAGCAGACCTTTCTTAAGACTTAGGATTTAACCAGTTCACAGGTTAGGATGGTGGGGCAGGCAGAGGTTGAAACGTAACAGGGCTACTGTGATATTCTGCTTACTTGTGTTGAAAGTTAAGTTCTAGAAATGCAGAATGAATGGTGCATGCATAAATCATTATTGACATCTTAAATGGAATGATCCTGAAGATCTGACTGAATAGTTTAATGATAATCTTCATTAATCACAGCACTGGTTCAAGTCTTGAACTAACAATTCCTTTCCTGCTAATGCAAGTTGTGAGACTATATTAGCGCGGTCTAGATACTTGGCGGCTTTTCTTCACAAATGAAGATGTCTGCAATAGGAATAATAAATTAATGGTATCCTTGAAGTCCTGGGTAATCATTCTTGTATTTTTTCTTTCTTTTAGGAAATCTTTAAAATTGAAGGCAACCTTGGAATTCTAAGGCAAAAGAGAGCTATTTTGCTGTCTCCAATATTAATTCCAGAAAATCAGAGACCACCATTCCCCAGGGTTGTTGGCAAGGTAAGTCTAGCCAAAGAGCAGGATCAAATTATGCTATTAAATGATTGATCCATTTCTCCTAGGTCTTTCTGCAGTAGTTATCACAGTAGTAGCCTCTGCTCTGGAGGCAGAGGAAAATGGCTGTGTGTGTGTGTGTGTGTGAGAGAGAGAGTATGTGGAATTTTTACTTCAAAACATAAATTCTGCTTAAAAGGATTCATCAGGGAGGTATGTTTTAATAGAGGTATGAATTTTACTGTACTAGGTGCTTAACACAGATTTGTTCACTATTTACATCCCATTCTGAAATGACATGGAGTGTCATATTGTATTGACATAATCCTGCATCGCTCTATAAAACACGTTGCCTTGCTTCTAACTTTGGTGCTGATTTTGAGAAGATATTAAAAAACTCAAGTACAAACATATGTGTACACAGCAGTGGATCCCTTTCATCTGTATACAAGTATTTCTGGGTGGTAGCTTTTCTTTTATCCCATAGATCTGTCAGAATAAACTTTGCATCAGTAAAGAAATGTGCACACTCGCACTCGCTCAAGGGGAGAGCCAGCTCCGGTTCTTGTGATTAGTGTTTCCCGTGTGCAAAAAAAATCTCAAACTGCAGCAAAGGAGATTTAGGTTGGAGATTAGGAAGAATTTTTGACGCGGAGGATGTTTTAACATTGGAGCAGGTTACCCAGAGAAGAGGTGGCATCTTTGTCTCGGGACATTTTCAAGAACAGGTTAGACAGACACTTACCTGGGATGATTTAGTCAGGGATGATCCTGAACTGAGTAGGGGGCTGAACGGGATGATGTCATGAAGTCTCTTCCAGCCCTACTTTTGTAGGATGCTACGTCCACGTAATTACAACTGTTGCTTAATTGAGCATTTTAATGTATGCTGTTTGGGAGTGCACATGCAATAATGGTCACTGCAGGGGCAAATAATATATGTGCAGTTGTGAAAAATGGACGGTTCGCATTGTTCTCTTTTTCTCAGGTGTGACAATTTGTATACTGACCTATACAAGTCAAGAGATTTTTATTGCACTGTTCCCACTCATACCATTAGTACAACTAAATGCACAGCCCCAGGGCAGAATATAATTCCATGATTGATGTATGTTTTAGCCAGATGGCATCTAATTAATTACTTTAATAATTAGGGAGAGTTTTGATTTTTTTTTTTAGCTGAACAAGAAAATTATCTTTGAGGTTTTATACCCTCTTGCTCCCCAATCGCATTCATACTGAACACATATCTCACTACAAGGTTTCCTCTCTTGGGGCTAGGAGCAGACTTGAAATTTCCTTTAAGTGTACATGTCTTATCTAATATTAAAAACTTCCCTACTACTCGGCTTTCTTCACCTGTTTAAATGTTAGGCTGTCTGAGAATTTTGAATGATTGATAACCAAGTAAAGATTTTGACCAACATATTAGTGATAACATATTGGATTTCTTAAGGCACTATCTTCTGACGGAAGGCCCAGCACAGTCCTCCAGCAGCCCAGGGTGCTTTGCTCATACCCCTGCCCCCAGGCTACAGTGTGTCGCTCACTGGACTCTACTGCTCCAGCCAATCAGGGAGTAGAACATGCCCCATTCATAATCCTCACACTCTACTACAGGGAGAAACAGCAGTGCGAGTCCTGAGCAGCCTGAGTCCTCTAGTTATAGCTGCCCTGTACACTGCTTTAGAGTCGGGGAGCCTGAGGAGCACGCTGAGATGTGTGCACAGGAGTCCCCTGCCACCCAGCATCAGCACTGCAAGTTTTCTGCTCTTTAGGGATTCACTACCTGAATGTCTGTTCAGGTTTATCTGGGTAAGTTTTTATACCAGGAGGACAAACCTGGAAAAATTCTCCCAGATCATTTGAACATGTGTACACAGCCTAAGGTACAATTTGGAGATGCTGCTGCATAGTCCTTATATGTGAGTTAGTGAGGGAAAGAAGAAACTCATTTTGCACACAGATCTAGGAGGAGTAGGTGTGTTTTTAAAAGTGCATTCAGTCACTTCTATATTAAGTTTGAAGGACAAGCCTTTTATGAGATGTTTATCATGGGCTGTACATTCATCCATCAAAACCCCCTTTTTTTATCAAATCTAATAATAATATATTTTACAGAAAAATCCTTTTATTCTTTTCCATAAAGTCCCATTTCAATTAACGATGATGGTTCTCAAGTCACAAAAATAGGATGCAGATCTGGCTTTTAGTCATCCTGAAGTCTGATTGTGGAAATATGTCCCTCCTTGAAAATTTCAATCTGAATACATATTTATAACTGGACCCCTCTCCTTTCATAATATAGAAGGTGTTGAGTTAGAGCTTTCTCTGCTGTTGGCGTAGCTAAATTTAAATGAAAAGAGTCGATGAATTTGCCTCAAGCAACTATATAATGGAATTATTTGTGACAAATTAGTCTTGAGCAGAAGTAATAACCAAGACTTATCAATATTAAATACAAACAAGACTAAATAAACATCTTATTGAGCAAATAAACTACTTTTCCAGTATCATATCTCCATTTTCATTAGATATTTTCTGCTTCCCCTCTCTGCTCCTTTTATCCCATGGCCTTTCTGTTGCTGTGTTTCTTTCTGCCCTTGGCTCCATCTTTCCTTCTTTTTTAAATTTATTTTTAGCTACCTTTCTGTTCCATTTTCCTTATATCTGAGAAGCAAAGTCAAAGCTTTTACTAACTTCCACAATCAGTGTTTGACTGTATTGAAAATTAGACACAATATAAAGAGGACAAGTAGCCCTTTTTCATCAAAGCACAGGGCTGAGACTCAGGAGACTGAGTACATTTCTCATGTCTGCCATAGACTTCTCAGCTGACCTTGTATTAGTTTCATAGTTTCTAGGGTCGGAAGGGACCTGAGCAGATCATCAAGTCTGACCCCCCCTGCCCTGGGCAGGAACAAGTGCCAGGATCATAGTACCCCAGCCAGATATCTATCCGACCAAGTTTTGAAGACCCCAAGGTAGGGGAGAGCACCACCTCCCTTGGGAGCCCGTTCCAGAGCCTGGCAACCCTAACCATAAAGTAATGCCTCCTGATATCAAGCCTGAACCTGCCCTCAATCAATTTGTGGCCATTATTCCTTGTTATTAGTGACTTGGGTTGGGATTTTCATGAACGAAAGGAATTCCAAAAAGATTTGAACATCTAACTCCTCTGGAAATATCACTCTCATTCTCCTGTGTGATAAAGGAGGATGCTTCTTTTCACCCACTCTTTGTCTTGTCGATTTAAATTAAGACTGAGTGAATAATGGCTTTTTTGTTTTTCTGGTAACTGAAAAATCAAAGAGAAAGTTTACCTTGCAACAAACTGAAACCAATTGGAAAACTGAATTTGTTCAGCTCACAACAAAATATTTTATTCTGCAGTTCAGCATATTTTTAAGGTGTTATCATCATTTAAAAAAATAGACAAAGGGAAAGTCAAAAGGAAGTTGTTTTGAATAAAACAAAATGTTTTTAAAATGTCCAACATAATATTTCACTGTTGCTTTGGAATGCTTTTTTCCCTAAGAAAGCTATTTTGGGGGTACTGAAATGAATGTGCAAAATTGTTTTGAGGTTGCTGAATCTGTATTTGGCTATTTGGATTATCTGGACTATAAGAGACAGCCCCAGCTCTGAATAGCTTACTAATGCTAGGCAGAATTGGTCTTTGAAGTGGCATGGCACCATAATCTATATCAATAATATTAATAATGAAACTGCTATATCAGATCTACTCATTAAAATGTGATAACTACGAAATGCAGAAGAAGGTGTCAAGCAAAGGTTGAACACGAACTGCAGTTCATGCAATATAAATGGAATGGGTATAGCATAAGGATATCTTCAGACTGACATTTCTTGAGCCTCATCTTGAATCCAATTCCTACTTTTAGGGAACAAGAATTTGTTTTAGATTACTCTTCCATTCAGTCTTTGGCCTTTATGGCAGAATGCCGCCAAGGCTAGCTATTTGTCATGGAGCATTTTGTGCATTGAATGTTGTGAGCAACTATAATGAGGTTCGCCACCTTATCTGAAATGGATGTCCAAATAACATAATTTGCTCACAGAAAGGTGTGTCTGTAGATTGTACGGCAGGATTTATTTGTCTAGCAAATGGACTCGTACCCAAACTGGGTCCAAGCCGGTGACTTGTAGATACAAAAATTTTCCTATTGCTAAGCTTCTCAGACTTTCAGGATCCCAGCATCTAGACGCTGAATCTGACCATCTCTGCTGGAAGCCTTTGAGGGCTATATGATATTTTAAAGTTCATATATTTTACTTGTTGCTGTTATTAGTGTTGTTATAACATGTAGGTGCCCAAGTAATGGACCAGGACCCCACTGTACTGTAAAAGCAGAACAAAAAGGCCATCCCTGCTCCAAGAACTTAGAAATCTAAGATAAGAAGCAACAGCTGGACACAGAGCAGCCATGGCCAGTACAAGAAAACAGAGAGACAGCATTAACCAGTGGTCTTATCAGCCTCATTGTTGTCCAGGTTTTTGTATACATCCTAGAAAAGGAGCCATGTTTTGAAGGCAATGCATTAGAGACAATTACTAGAAAGAGTATTGATCGTCTTATTCTGTGTCTTGATTCAGCACTAATGAGTGATTTCAAGATAATGGGGTAAGTTACTTCTCAGCACGGTGCAAAGATTCACAGGAATCTATGATTATGTCTGAACAGCAACACTAATGTAGGGGCCTAAACATAGGATCCTAAATTCATTTTAACATAGATGCACATTGGTCCAGTTTCCAAAGGTGCTAAGCATGATCAGCTTCTGGTACATTTGATAGGCAATCGCAGATGGAACATTTATCTAAATGGAGTAAAGTATAGGTTTTCAGTAGCTGTCTAATTCAGGGACCCAAGCCCAAACACTCTGGCTGCAGTCTCATGCAATCACGAGATCGATTGTATGTTTCTTTGAACAATGCAGAAGAGAAAGTTAGCAGTGCTTTCTGAAAGGAGACTGAAAAAATG